GTCTGACCACAAACTGACCACAAACTCCATGGCCTTTAAACAGGAGAAAACAATCCTCTCAGTCCTGCCTGGGGGCTGGCAGAGTAACATCAGTTTCACTCACTGGAATGCAGGACCACCAGTGCCCTGAAGGCTCCACAGGAGAATCTGTTCTTGGCCTCCTCTGATCCTGGTGTGTGTCATAGCCTGATTTATGGCTGCATCCCTGCAGTCTGCCTCTGTGGTTGTCTTGCCTTCTCCTCTCCTATGTATACTCCTTGCCCCTTCTCTTTTAAGGACGTGTGTGATGGCATCCAGGGATTGTATTAATTTCTTATGGTTTTATTAGGGTCAGCTTTTTCTAACTGTGACAAAAGCACCGATATAATCAAATTACAAAGAGAAAAGGTTTCTTTTGGCTCACAATTTCAGAGTTTTCAAGGAGTCATTTGTCCCTGCTGCTTGGGCCTGTGACCAGGGAGCATATCAGGGTGGGAGCACATGGCAGAGGAAGCTGCTCAACTCATGGCAGCTGGGAAGCAAAGGAAGAAAGAGACCAGGGTCCCACAAGCCTCTACCAGGACACACCCTGATGACCTAGGACCTCCCTTGGCCTCACCCCCTGGAGCCACCACCCTTCTCATAGTGCCATGGGCTGGAGACCAGGCCCCAGTTCAAGGGACTCGGGGGAATATTCAGGATCCTAACTATAGCACGTGGCCTGTGTTGACAGTGGAGAAAAGGAGGACAGTAAGACACTATGTCCCTGAAGGGTCCCTCTCCATTCCCAAGAAGCTAACCGGGTTAAGGGATCAATGAAAGCAATCCTGGGAGGGGAAACATCCAGATAAATGTGATCTCCGAGGACACTAGTGCTCCCTCTCAGGTGCTGAGAATCAGGGTAAGTTCGCTGGTGTTCCCTGCAGAAAGCTGGTTCTCCCCCACACACCAAGGTCTTGGGATGCTGGCCACACAGAGGGCCAAAGCCACCCACTGGTGATGCCTCTGCTTCTGGAGCCTATGAACCTTCTCTCTCTGCAATGATAGGCACAGAGCAGAGCACTAGGAGAGATAAGTGCTCTGCTACCTACTGCCACTGGATGAAGCATAGGAGGGACACAGGTGCTGCTCTCTGCTGAAGGACCAGAGGCAGCTTGAGGAAGAGTATGAGCCACCCAGTTCCACGGCCCACCCCATAAATGCATTTCACGCTGCTCATTCTTCTCCAGTGTCCTCTTTAGTCACTCGGTGCCCTGTCCTATGCTCTAGCACAGCTGGATTGCAGGCAGTAGTGTTGACACAAATTACTAGACACTCAGTGCCTTGAAACAAACTAGACTTATTCCTTCACAGAGACCAGAAGCATGAGTTGTGAAGGCAAAGTGCTGCTCCCTCTGCAACTTCTAGCGGGGGTGGGGGGCTCTCTCCCTGGGCTTCCCATAGCTGTCAAATGTCTGAGTCACCCCAACCCCCACCTCCACTTTGCCCTGGCTACTCCTTGTGGCCTTCTTCTATAATTATGGGGGCACATTTTGGACTTAGGGCTCATCTGGGTAATCCCAGATCTCAAGATATTTCACTTACTTGCCTCTGTGAAGGCCCTGTTTTTAAAAACTCTCACGTCACAGGTCACAGGTTTGTGATAGGGCTTTGGTGGGGAACTTACCTAGCGAGTGCTCAAGCAGAGTGTCTGGCAGAGTAAGTGAAGCATAAGTACTGACAGAGTCAATATCATTACAGACCACCTCTGCACCAAACATGGGGCAGGGAGAAGGGAGCGAGGCAGATCAGCGCGAAATTCTACTCCTTTGTCCCAGATAACTATATTCCTGATATGCAAACCAAAGTTCCTTTTGTTGAAGAAACGGTTGCAAACAGTCATTAGAAATCTACTACTGTGATAAACACACGGCAAACATATAGGACAGAAAATACAATGAACCAACACAGGCTTAGGTTTCAACAGCTCCTTTCCAAATGCCACTAAGGTGAGTGTCGCTTTTGTGAAAGCACTCTGGTGGGTTGCACCTGTGGGCGGGCTCCCCCCACGCCAGGGTGCTCTGGGTCCACATGCACTGAGCCACCCGACATGGGGCTGGGGCGCAAGCAGCCCCCTATGACTTGTAGGGATCACCCTGTCCAGGGATGAGGGGGCTGTCTTAGAGGTAGGTTACCTGGGACTAGAAGTCTACTGCTGTTTTCAGGGGTGGCTTTTGCTGGTCTGTTGTATGAATTTAGTTAGAAAACAGAAGCTCTGATTTAAGATTTGGTAGCAGACTTGCTATGGATGTTAAATGAATTAATAAATAAAAAGCAAATCAGCCTTGGTAAATATTGTTTTCCTAAAATTTTATTGGACATTGACTAATTATCAGTGTACACATTCCTGGGGAACACTGTGACGTGATATGGCTACATAGTGATCTGACAGTTAATCAAGTTTAATTAAGTTAATCAGGGCTAACCTATAACCTCAAATATTCTTCATTCCGTCCTCCTAAGTGATACTTTGGATTCATTGCCGACCTCTTTCCATTCTCCACAAGCCCATCCCTGGCACCCCCAACCAATTCCGCTCCTGTGAGTTTAAAGTTGAGTTATGGAATCAGCTTTAGCTAATCAACAAATGAACACATTAAAGAAATAGGTTATGTTTAGATAGCATGATTCTATTTAGCCTCTTATAAATTATGTCATTTATAATAACATGGCTGAACCCCAAGATTAATGCACTAAACCACGCACAAAAAAGCATTTACATATGAGATCTAAAATGGTTTGCTCTTCCTTCAGCCCAAACCCATCTTAAAAGATTTGAAAAATATTTGAATCCAAATACAGGGTGTTGGTTTTCTATTTAATTTCTGCCTCAACCATGGGGCAAAACTGCTTGTTTTAACTGAAGACACAATATTAGTGTGTCTATAATAGAGCCTCAAAGAGAACTTCATTCAGTATTGTTTATTTTCCCAGAAACCCTTTTGAGATCTAATTTTACCTGCTGCAAAAGAAAGAGCAAATGAAGCAGCTGCTTTGTCAGTGCCCCAAGCCTCAGGAGAGCCAGCTCTCAAGCTCCACCTGGAGTAAGGGGCAAGTGTCTGCCTAGGCGTGTCACCTCATCTGAGCCAAGACCCTGGAGGGTCCTTCCCTGGGTCCCGTCTGATGACCATGTACATGTCTTGGACACGGAGTGCAGTTTGAAGAAGTGGAAATGCATGTGTTTGTGTAACATCCACAACTTAGGATGCCACAGGGCTGAACGAGCCAGATAGAGCAGGCTGGAGTCGGGGTCGACCCTTCTTCTGTAGTTGGCAATTCTTAGACACAGGCCTTCCCAATATGTTGAGAAGAAACAGTTCTGTAGCTGTTACCCTCCCCAGAGAGAGGCCTGTCCTAGGTCCCAGCTTCAGGGAGGCAATCTAGGAGAGCAGTGTCTATTTAGGGCTGCTGCTAGCCATATGGCCACTGAGGGTGGGAACTGGCCATGCAGAAAGAACGATCATGCGATTAGGTAAGATTGGGGTGGTTGGTATCAGTGGACACGGAGACTATCCAATCAATCATGATGGCATAACAAAGCCTCAACAAGATCTCTGAGCAGGGAGGCTCAGGGGAACTTCCAGGTTGGCCGTGTTCTGTGCACATTGACACATGTCAACAGGTCGAGGGTGCATAACCTGACTCCACAGGAGAGGAGCATGGACCCACACCAGGGATTCTCTGTGCTAATCACACCCTTTGGCTGAGGTTGAGATGTATTCTTCTCTGTTAATAAACTGCCACAATGAGCGGAAGATTGTCAGTGAGGTTTGCATTCTTAAGCAAAGCTTTGAGTCTGAGGGTGGTTTGGGGGAAATCCTGTGCTTGCAGTTGGTGCCAGGGGAGGTGAAGGTGGTCTCTGCAGGATTTTTGCCCTGTGAACTTGGATGTTGGCCCTGAACTCTTGCCTAACTCCAGGTGTGGGCCAGTGGCAGATGTGGTCCTCCAGGTTCTCCTTATTCCAGGACATATTTGGATGTTCAAATACAGGTTCAATTCTTTTCCCCTGTCCAAGAGCACCTCAAACCCCAGAGAGCCTTCCTTGCTGAGTTTCAGGTTGGGAACAAGAAGTTTCTGAGCATCTTTTCAGAGAGCTCTCTGCTCTGAGTGAAGCCACCTGAGGTGCTCCTGTTATGAGTATTCCTGAGTTGGAACATGGACTTCAGTTAGTATTCCTGTTATTTGTAGATAATGAGAGACCCAGGTGTGCAGTGAAGGACGCTTAGGAGAAGACCACCATTGTCCCCTGTGAAGGGTAGAAGGGCTCATTTGTAATTTTCAGGTTTGTGAGTAACACATTCACAAGGGTCCCCTCGGCTGTCTGCTCATTTGCTAAAGCATAGCATTCTAGAAAGGGCTCCGCCTTGGAGAACTCCAGCTTAGCCCAGGA